AGTACAAGATATTAATTTAATAAAGTTAATCAGCATAGCTCCTGATTTTCCTTTGGAGAGGTGTGGGGTATTTCTTGGCGTGAAGCTTCTACTGCCAGATCTCCCTCCCTAGAGGTTTATGACTGTTGTGGTACTTTGTAGTCACTTGGTCCACCAGTAACAGGATGTGTGCTGTCACTCATCACTACTTTCAGTATTTTCACCACCTGTGCTATTACCAGTGCAAGCTGCTGCCAGCTTCAAGAATGTCTATTGCTGTACAAGTTGCTGAGTATGAGATATTGCAGCAATAAACTGCGCTGCCAGTACCGCCGCTACCTGGTACCAGGAGGGTGGAAAAAAAAAATGAGCTCAGCGTCCCTGTGACAAATCGCCCCATCAAATTAACAGAAGCTGCCCTCACATAAAGATGAAAGGAACCAGCTGAAGCAACCATATCAAAAATGAAATGGCATGGCGGTCGGAAGAGAGGAAGGAGTTTTCCCACACCTTTGCAAGCCCCGCAGGAAAGTGGAGAAGACCTGCGAGCCCTATGTGTGGGGACAGAGGTCCTTGCTAGACCCTTGCTTGTCCTGGGGAGTGGGGGATGGAGAGGGGACAGTGGGGACAGGCTGAGGAGCACTGTCCAGCCATCACGAGGGTGTCACAGACTGCTGGATGGGGCAGGTGGTGTGGGCACAGCCCCCTGCAGCGGCGGGGGCAATGGGAGCAGGCATGCTTTCTCCACCGAAAACAAAACTAAGTCCTTGGCCTGGCCTGAAGGATAATTTTAGTGCAGAGGGTGAAACCCGACCCTCTCCTTCAGCATGACACGGGCTGTAATGCAGAGCTGGCAACTCAGCCGCTGCTGTTTCAGAAACGTCAGAGCTGTTTATCAGCACTGGGCAAGCGTGGGAAAAACCCCAGCGGGGAGCGGGGCGAGCCCAGCAGGCTTCCCTTTCCTCTCCTTTCCTTTTGCTCAGGAGCCCCTTTGCCTGGCGTCAACAAAGCCTGAGCTGAGGCCAATTAACGGTGACGGCCGAGTGCTGAGCGCATGAGCAACAACCCCATGCACTGAGCAAGCACGCAGGGGCACAAAGGGCAAGCCCACACGTATAACGCACACGCATAATTTTATTATACGTTGTAAGGCAGAAGCTGGGAACCCTCCATGACATTCATGCCACTGCAGCAATGCCTCCAGGCTGAGGCGGTGATGTTGGCCCAGAGCTATCACAGTCGGGAAGACAAGAGCATGTGGAAAGCAGAATTATTGTTCCCGCTTTGCAGAGTGGGAAAGGAAGGAGCCTGAAGTGGGTTCCCATGGACGAGGTGGTGAGAGGAGTAATTCTTCTGTCCGCCGACGTGCTCAACCTCTGCTCAGAGGCAGCAGGTAGCACCCTTTCTGAACGGCACGTATATTCCCGTAGCTGAACAGGCAAGTCACCAGTCACTCACTCATGCCTGCAAAATGTGCACTGCTGGGCTATTTGTCCCTACTTCAAACAAAATATCATGCTGTAACTATGTGCATCATTTCATTCAGCACACAGTTTCAGGCTCTATGCTGAAACAGCCGTATTAAACCACAGGGATCTTTACCCTGGAGTATGTTAAACCAGTATGAACTCAAAATAATGTTTGGAAATTTACCCTAGCAGCTTTATAGCAGCATCTCATCATTCTTATCCTACATATCTGTCACTGTTTTCTGAGACTACTCAGCTTTTCTCCCTCTCCCCTTACAAAGCAGTAAATGCTCAGAACTGTTTTAAGAGCCTTCCAAGCTTGCTTCATTTGTTCCTGCGCCTGAGTGCAGATGTGAAGATTAAATCTGTGTGTGCCCAAGTCCATGCCGTACATGCAGCCTTCTGGAAAGGTCGCTGAGGTGGACCTCGGGATCTTTACAGTCAGGCACCTCTGTCTTTTTGTGCAGGTGCTCTTTTGAAATCTTTATTCCTCACAGCAAGGGAGCAGGCAACTAACAGATGATTTCCTGACGTGCCTTTCTGTCATGTGGGAACATCCTGCAGCTTGCCTCCAGCGCCAGTTTGTGGCGAAGGATGCAGGAGATGCAGGATGTGATGCAGGAGCCGTGCCGAGACCTCTTATTGATTGGGACTTCGGGGTACAGGCAATTGCACCTGAGCCAATGCTGCTCCCGCTGTTGGTCACATACCTGTAGCTCAGCGTACGTTGTTCACATTTGGTTACGGCTGGCACCTCCCTTGCACTTGAGATAAGACTGCTGGAAAAATTAAAGAGGTCAGGTCCAGATCAGATCCAGCAGGTATTTAGGTGCTGAACTACCGAAATAAATGCAAGTCAGGGTTGTAAATGCCATTTTGGAAGCGGACTCCACTGACATTAGGACGTAAAGGGTGGTGGGAAAAGAGATGCAAGGCTGCAAGGAGTAAGCTTGAGCACTAGAATGAAATGAAATAAACTTCCAAGGTGGAAAACACACTAATTTCATCGGAGTATTGTATTGTTTAGAAATTTCTTGACTAACATTCACTTTGACTATGAATTATTGTATTTCTTCCTACATTCTTCATGAAAGTTGGCATGCCCTGGTAAATGGCAGGACTTCCATGGTGTGCAGCATGGTTTGAGGCAGCAAAATCTGGCCCTAATACTAGAATTAAGCAAACTGTTAAAATAGGAACTGAACCAAATGCCCAGATCTCCTCCCCAAACTCAAACTAAACCTGTTTTGAGGTTCAGGAATGTTTGGTTAACTTTAAATAAAACAATGTTGTGTTTCTACACATCCTGCTTTCAGTGAAGCCTCCAAGCAGAAATACAAAAATATGGCAGACAGATCTATGTTTGCACTACTTCTGGCCCAGCTGAAACTAGGAAGCACTGGAAATCTCACAAAAACAGCTTTGTCTTACAGATATCCAGCTCCCAGATTCTGTTAACCAGTAGAATACAATGTAATGTACATACCAATTTATTATTAGTTTTCCACACAGATCATTTCAATAAACAAATTCCCCAGATTATCAGACATATGAAAACCCTACTTTTACTTTACCGTGGTAGCACACTATATGGCTACTTTACAGTCCTTTTATGCACATTCTCAGTGAGTCATTGGCATAGTCGTACACAGCAAAAACCCACAGCAAATGATAACAAAGATAACAAACCAAGCATATGCATTTTGTGCTTCATATTTGGTTCATGGCTAATTTAAAACATGTGATCAAAAATTTTGTTGTTTGACATCTCTTTGACAACTCTCTTTATTGTAATTGCAGAGCATAAATACGAAGACAACAGCATTGGTTTCGAGGTACATATTTGGTCATATAAAATTGCCCTGTATGTCACGGCAACATTTTTAAAGCCCTTCTGTGTACCACACTTTTGCAAATTCATATTTAAAGGAACACTGAATGTTATTGCTAGAAATGATATCACTGTCAGCAAAACATAATACAAACACTCTGATTACTCGGCTATCTGCTCTACCACAACAAAGTCATCCCAAATGATACAGTACCACAGCTTCATTTTTGCTAGCCAGATTTATTATATTTTCCAGATTCTAACAAGACACAGATATTAAGAAATGCATGTTAATCATTGCCCTAATGAGAACAATATGCAGTTAGCATTTAGGTTGTCACAAAAAAACCAGAAGGGGAGTACAGACTAAGTGCACTCTAAATTCAAGGAAACTCAATCCTTCTTTCCACTAGCATGTTTCAGTGAAATGGTCATATATGAGAGAAAATTTTTGATGAACTACCCAAATTCTAACAGGTATGTGTATATGCTTTCATTAAGCACAAGGCAAAGTAAAGTGCCATTCTGACCACAACTGTGAAAGCGAAATAACCACTTGCTTATGTACAAAAAGCTATAAGCATACAAAGCACTAAAAGCCTGCCCAGCATCTCTCCTCCGGAAATGGTGCAAGCTTTCAGTTTTCTGTCAGATATGGTACTATTGGCCAGTAAATTATGCGTCCTATTTATGCAGGACTTCCTATCACTGTCAAATTGGATCATTTCTTTTCACTAAAAGTTGTCCTGAAAAAGGAATTTGTTGGGGAAGAGTCAGAGGAAGCGACAGAACTTGGTAACTCTGCCCCAAACCATACCAAACTTCCCTGTGTTGCATTGTTTTCAGACAGACAACTTCTGGAGCAAAATACTACCCAACGTGTGTAAGAGGACAAGAATCTGGCTTTAAACATATTTGCAAATAATAAATAAAACGCATGCCTAGATTTACAGAATAAACCAATTAATTTCATTAGGCAAAAGTGCAAAACCCATCACCATTCCACATGTCTAAGGGCCTGAAGGTGCATGAAGATTTGGTTTGAATTTTCTAAAGCAAAATATGTGCTCTTCCCATACTTGTTTTGGTTGGTTACTTATTTCCCTTAAGGAAACTTTCACTCTGCCCACCAAAAAAGGATGTGGAGATGATAAGGTTTGAAATGCTGGCTGAACAGCAAATAGGGCAGGCATCAATGGAGTGGGTGCAAAAGAAAGCAAGATTGTCACTTCTGCTCAGATTGCAGTGCCTTGCAGTCACAGAAGACATCTAAAACCTCTCCCTCTCCCTTCCGTTCCTCCTCCCGCTTCCCCATACCAGTCACACAGCTCTGTCTTCCG